TTGGATTAATATCTAAAGCTCTTGACAGCAACATATGCCGGAGGCATGGCTAGTTTGACGTTGACGCGGCCTACAATTACATGTTACAGTGCTTTCAATTTTTAAACAAGCTATAATGGAACCGAAGGATAGTTCGGGTACTAGAGGTCTCATATATAATTCGCTCATGCGGGGATCGAACTACACAAACTATGATGATGCTAGGCGGCCAGCGCATGAGTCGCAATGCGGCTGCACGTACAGCCTATACCATGACGTGATGTACGTCGAATGAAACGATAACATGCGGGCATGCTCTGCATTTCTCTCATGCGCATGGCCTATTTGAATCGGTCAGCGCAGCACCTGGCGCACACCCGCATGGCGGACATGCACGTGCATTTAGCGTCACACTTGACTTGGAACGTTCGCGTGAGCGTACCCGCAATGAGAAGGTCCGAAAACAGTTCCATATGACAATTGAGAGTCACGCCCGTCCCAGTCTGGACATGCGTCTGCACGCTTCCCGGTAATCAAGTTTGCTTTGATACTCGGCTACAAACTCTGGTGCTAAAATGTATCTAAGCACCAGTAAAGCCTTGGAGTCGACAAGACTCCTGACCATTCGCACCATGCGGCAGAGCATGGCACCTGCCGTAACAGTGAGCCAATGCAAGCCAGGAAACCCTCCGCAGCCTCTACTCCTCACTGAACCACTCTTGCCCGAGTTTAAACAATCCCTAGAACGAATAGGCTCCCAATCGCAATGAGGAGCAGGGCAACAACCTGCATTAGCGGAGTGAATGATCTTCAGTCCTCCTGGAAAAGACCAGGCCCAGAAAGCTGGACGATCACGGAGCTTCTCGGAGCATACTTTCAGCTCATCGAGTTCATGGACAGGAAGATGGCAGGACGGCTTTAGATCCCCATGGAACTAGATAATGTGATCAGCACATTGAAGCAGAGGGCCTTTTACGTGGCTTCTTGACCGGTAGAAGCCCACACCTGAAACCGTCTTCATCAAGATTTTGACATCGAGGCGACGAACACGGTGCGCATCTTTCTGCTCGCTTCTTTGGATGAAAGTTGCCAAGCAGCTTTCAGCTCGCTTCTTTCAGCTCACTCTCTTCCTACATGACGCATTCGAAGCGAAACTTCCGGAAAGAAGACGGACGGAGTGACGGGTGCTCACATTTCGGACAGTCTCGGCGTCCAACGACAGCGCGAGGCCGAGGCCCTCCCAGTGCAGCCCCGTCGCGCTCAGTCGGAATCCGACGACCGCAAGCAGAAGAATGATGAACTGCATCGAGGAACGGTCCGTGAACAACAAGAAACAAACTTCTCATTTCAACGCTTTCGAGAACGCCTCTGATAAAAGGCTTTGAGAATGCCAGATAAACAGCAGAGCTTTGGGTGAAAGCAGTTGGTTCAATAAGGACACGATTGCAATCGAGCAAGGAGAGTAATTCGAGCTCGGCCTGGAAGCACTTGCTCTGCTTCCGCAAAGCCTCTCAAATCCTGAGCGCGCGTCTTGTATGCTGCTATAAGACGCCAAGCAACCTCTTTTCGGAATTGAGATTAGCTCCGTCGATACGGCGCAGTCATTTCAATCAATTCAGAGACGCGCCGCTTGCACACCTGGTTACCAGTTTGCGATTGTGTCCGCAAGAACGGTCCAATCTTAGTCTGCTCGTTCCGACAAGAGGAGCTGTGTGTGGATGCCCGACGTAGTGCCCGTAGCGATAGTGCAATGCTTGTGCTGGCGGATTGGACACAACGACAAAGTGGCGGACGGCAGATAACAAGCAAAAGGAGAGCAGAGGACTTGACTCACCAGTTTCAAAAGAATGGCCGGTAGTTGGCTCCTGCAAAGTAAGAAAGGCAATGGTAAGGTTTCAGGCAGGTGGCATAAACAGCAGCAGTGCTTTGCACAGGTCCGTTGAATCTTGAATCTCGACGGTTTCAGGTACCGCCGGGTTGGAACAACTTCGAACTGAGGTCCCGTATTCCTCAGCTTGTTAGCTGCTTCACAAAGCGGTGACGGGAACTGACACCTTCACCGCGCTTGAAGAAGAAGCTGCTTCGAACCCACTGCGATTAAGTAAACTTCTAATACGCTGCGGGTGGGTATGCTGCAGAGCTTTGCAAAGTGACACCAAGACCGAAGGGGCAGGATCGGAATGGGCCACAGGTTCGACACAACCAGAGAAGAACACAGGCGGCGAAGAGACGGGAAGCAACAGAGATGATACATTGACAGGGATTGCAAAGACGCCGAATGAGCTATCAGGCAGGTCTCGCTCCTCTTTCCTGCAAGGTTTGTACTCTTATCTACGCGCTTGAAGTCGTCAGCTGTTGAGTCTAACCTCTGATAGGGCGCCAACCCGTCTAAACACAGCTTCTCAATTTTCTCGCAGCGCTTTATCGTCGCCTCGGCGTTTGGGTCCGTCTTGGTGACCTGCGGCAAGCCCAAGGCGACGTCAGCAAGGTTCTTCGCCGCCAGCAGTGACGCCAGCGGAAAGCGAAAAGCGAAAAGCTCGTAGGAGCTTGCGCATCCGCACGGGTTTTCATTGCGACGATTGCTTAACTCCAATCGCAGGTGAAGTTGAGACTGCATCAGAACACAAGAAGGCAGCCCGCTTGAGAAAATCAAAATTCTCAACGAGGCAGACTAAAATTTGTCCAGGTGTCCTTTTCCATCGTTGGCGGGCGGTGAATTGCATACACTCAAAATACCAACGAAGCCGGAGATCCAAAACTGGGACCGAATCCCGAAACCGAATTGCATATCGACAGCCCGAAACCACTTGCCGAGACATGCACTCCCGTGTGCCTGCCCACAACCCAGCTTTCGTTTGCCCGCGCACCTTTCGCTTGATGACACGTGTCCAGTTGAGGAAGTCCCGGTAGACGTGCTCCATGGTCTTGGTGCGGTCCATGACCTTGGCGCTCAGGCCGCGCCGCAGCTTGACCACGCCCGTGAAGACGGCGGGGTTGTTGTAGCACAGCGCGAGGGTGCCAATCGCCATAATCTGCAAAAATCGAGAAGACATGAAAATTTGTACCCAAAGAGCCTGGGTGTGAGAAAATGAATTGATGATTAGCCTGAATGGCAGGCGGCCGCGTTGTTGTAGCACAGAGCGAGGGTGCCGATCGCCACTATCTGCACAGGAAGAGGAGATTAACAATAAAAATATTAGTTGAATGTCGAGCCGAGAGTCGGGAAAGCGAGCTGACAATCGGCTCAGCCATACTCAAGAAGACGGCGGGAATAATGTAGCACAGTGCAAGCGTGCCAACGTCCGACTTTTTTGAGAGCGCAGATTGCAAACTTCAGGGGTCGGCTCAGAAAATCCTTGCAGGGCGTACACGATTGAGCTGCGGCTCGGCTTGACCACCGCGGTGAAGACAGCAGTGTTGGTAAACGCCTTTCTGCCGGCTCGAAAGGACAACCGCGGAAGAAAACGAGAAGTAGGCTCGAAGCTCAAAACATTGAAGACGTCCGCATGCGGCCGACGTAGCAAGTGCGACTAGCCAAACAGAACGGCTTGCGGGACAACGCTAACTCCAGCCAATCCCCACGGAACCCCTTGGCTCAAACTTGTACAGACCCAAACGGTTGAACTGCCAGCCGGACTAGCTTGGACCATCATATACGACCAGGGTTTCCTCAGACGTCCGCTGACATTCATCGGTCCGAACAAAGCTGGTTCTGAGGGTCTGCCAGAAAGGGTCCGCCAAAAAAATTCTGCCAAAAAGGGTTGATTCTTGACCCAGCTCAGACGGTCCAGGAGAGATGCGGACCTGAGGGATGGCGCAGAAGCCGAAGACGAGGGGATCCCTCAGCGCCGCCATGTACCGGAGGGAGTGAGGCACGTGCCGCAGGGTTTCGGTGATGAGGTCGTTGGCGCAGTGCACCGCAGCCTCGCGGTGGGCCGGCTCTCGGAACTCCTGGAATGCGGGAAGAAAAGAGCTTTGTCAGGAAGGCAGATTGACTGGTGAAGTACGTTTTTTGCACTTTGCATCGCTCTCGAGAGGTTAAACGAATGGAGCTCTTCAAAAAAAGTCGCGGAAGACCCTAACTCTCAGATTATGCACCTTCCGCACCCTCGTTTACAATGATGTCCCAAACCAACAAGGGCTGGCGACCTCGGTATACTTCAGACAGAACGGTCTCGAAAGTTCGAGTAACAACGCACAGTGAGCTTGCTAACTGCACCGCTGCTCAGCAGCGCTTGTGGCGACCCTTTGAAGATGCCAAATGGGCACAACAGGGAAAAGCGAATCAGCTATGCAGCTTGATAAGGGCCGGATGTCGAGTAGACAACATTCGCTTGCGCTCTGCTTCAAGAAGTGCGCGTAGTCCAAAGATGGAAAACAGAAGAAACGTCAAAGAACGCTGATTGGAAAAGCGAAACCGAGGAAACAGACAGAGTCTGACCAAACTGTAGACCGGCTACTTGATCTTTCATCCAGCATTGTGACCAAGACTCCCTGTGAATCTATCCGCCCCACCCCTAGTTTCTTCCCATACTAGATCAAACGTCCTGCAACCTGAACATGCGCGGCGCCCACCTCTTGTTTCTCTCCCTGCTTGAACCACACGTCCTGCGGCCAGAACATGCGCTGCTGTTTTTTGGAACGACGAGTCAAGCCCGCCCATATCCACTTTCTCCCCGTACTTGGACCACACGTCCCAGTGCAAACACACGCGATCGTGATAGTCTAAGAAGACAGATCAAATTCGCCCACCTCTAGTTTCTCCCCGTACTTAGACCACACGTCCCGCGGCCAGAACATGCGCGGCGCCGGCTCCTCGTTAATGTCTTCCAGATAGTCTCGCACGATGTTGGTCTTTTGTAGAAACAGCCCCATCGAGTTGGACAGTTCGTCGGGCGCGCGTTCCTCGAGCCCCGACTGCTCAAACAGCCCCGAAAGCCCTAATCCGACCAAGCCCGCGACGTAATGGCAGTACTCGTCGAAGTCGGCGCGCGTAACGACCTGAGGATCACAAGGGGGAGCGTTACATTCCCAGCAGCATTTCGGAGATTGCGGTGAGATCCGACTGCTCGAACAGCCCCGAGAGGCTCAAGCCGACCAGGCCCGCGACGTAATGGCAGTACTCGTCGAAGTTGGAGGGTGTAACGACCTGGGCACTGTTAAGTGAAGAGCGTTACATTTTGAGAAGCGCTTAGACGGTTGCGTTGAAGGCAGCCCGACCAGCCCTGCGATGTAGTGGCAGTACTCGTCGAAGTTGGCGCGCGTAACGACGTAAGGGAAACAAGGATGAGCGTTACGTTGCCAGAAGCTTTCGCAAGACAGACAGAGTCGGAAAGGCACGAGAGGCCCAGCCCGACCAGGCCCGCTACGTAGTGACAATACTCGTCGACTTGTTCGCGCATAACGACCTGGGGAGCAACGTGCGGCGTCACGTTGTCAGTGCCTTTCGGAAGATCACAGTGAGCCCCGACTGCTCAACAACCATATCAGTAGCTTTTTAAAAGATGGCGGTCAAGCCATATTGGAAGGAGAAAGCGTTGCAAAGTTTTCGAGTCGGCAGCACACAGACGTGACGACCGAGACTTGGCAACGGAATTGCTTCCTGGTACACGAGGTGCCTCCCAAAACTGTTCGAATGACCCTACGCGAGGCCAGGAAGCGCGTCAGTCTATCCAGAAGGTTGCAAAGCTCGGGGAAGATTTGGAAGAGTGCCAATAGAGCACGGCGCAAACATTACGCATCCCTTATGACGCTTACCTCCTTTTCGATATACTTTGCCATGCCTGCGCCCATCCGCCGGGTGATGTCAGCGATGACCTCTTGGTACCTGTCAGTCATGCAGAGGGATCGTTCGCTGCTTGCACTTGGAATAGTCTTGTATTGGCCGTGGTAGAAGCTGCCTCAAAAGCAGCAACAGAAGCTCTTTGTAAGAAATTTTTGAAGATTCGCAGCACAGAGTTTGGCGCTCTCAAAATCAGCTTCGGGCACCTCGTTGAGGACTCTTCCTATCAGACGAGAGGGGCCTCAGCGAAAGAGCAGAGGATGTGTGCTTGGGACACGCAGAGACTGCAAGGAAGCGGAGGGAAGCAGTTGAGAATCATTAACTGCCATTCAACGGACTAGTTACACCCCGGTTGTCAGAACGGATGGATGGAGAACATGGACTTCCGAAGGTGTCCCTGGGACCCCCCTCGATTATTACCCCCCCCGCGATCGGCGTTCCGCGCGCGGACTTCGCGGCAAGCTCTTACCTATACTGTACGGTATCTTGAAACTACGGTAGGTACCGTACCTACCTTCAACATGCAGTCCAGACTTGAGTTGAATGCTGAGCTCCGAGTCTGAGCCTGGCTGCCGCGCTGAGTCCCGGTCCGGTCAGGCCGTGACTCTGAGTCACGTACCGGCCCGTGACGCCACTTCAGTTACCGCGGCCGCGCGCGTCAAAGGTGCGGGGTTATAATCGAGGGGAGTCCCAGGGAAACCTTCGGAAGTCCATGTTCTCAATCCATCCGTTCTGTCACTACTAATGTCGAAACCACACTCCCGAGCTTCGTGCACAAAACGGATGTAATTCAGAGGACGTACCGGCCATTCAAGATTACTTTTATCGGCCTTTTCAGCCGTTCGTCAAAGCATGCTCGTTGGAGGGCTCACTGTTTGTTTAGTCGCAGGAATGCTCGCGTCACGCATGGGTAGTTGTCCATCAACCTCTTGTAATGGTTCTCTCCGCCTGCAGGGAGGCAACCGGTTTCACTTTCCGTTTTTACTCTTTCTTTCGAATGCGTTCCATGCTCGTGTCAACTTTCGTCTCAATATCGGTCTCAGCTCCAGACTCCGTTTCTTTCATCCTGTAGTCGCGAGGCGACGAGCTTCACAACTTGTCAAGGAATGCTGACCCCGTAACACTTCGTCATCTGTGCGACACCGATTCAACGCGTCCAGGGGTGATTGGAAGGTTCAATGCTTCGTCGTTCGAAATAACAGAAAGACACGAGCAGTACGTAGGAAGAGTACTCAGTCCTTGCTGCTACAAACGTTCGATCGGACAAATGGAGGCGGAACGAGATGATGGGAAAGCAAATGCTCCGCTCACATGGAAAGGTCCAGGTGGGGTCGTACATGGTCTTGTGAAAGCTGAGGAGGATTGGCAGCTTCGTGACTACCGGAATATCCATCGAATCCTCTGCAGGAGACGACATACACAGATAATCAATCGCGACGATTCGTCTGCCAGGCACAGTTTCCGGAGGAAGGCGGAACGTCCGACCTTTCCGTAGGTTTCGAATAAACTTCCGGTATCAGTAGATTTGAATCTAAAAGCCTCAAACTTGAGAGCGGAGGCTAAAAGGGTTCCTCAACGGACAAAAAGTCGGACGATTGAAATGATGAGGAAGAATGAAAGGGCCGAGGAAGAAGCAAGTCGTGGAGAGCGGTTTGAGCACAATCTGGGAGGAAGATTGGGCTCACCAACAGTATCGAGGCCGCGCAACACGAGGTAAAACAAGCAGATCTGCACCAGAAGATGGAAAAAGTTTAGAAGGAGGCACCCTCGGATCGAGCTTGGAGCGACTGCTTCAAAGTTTACCACTGCAGCCGACCAAAAATCGCAGACAGGCTTTAGGGGAAGAGAGAAGATGAGGCTTCGAACAGTGGCTGATGTTTCTTTTTAGCAAAATTTGGAAGTTAGCTTATCAGGCCTGCCAACGCCTGGGGCAACAGAGTCTGTTTGCTTTAGTTTCCAGCCGTCCTCCTCGCGTGGCCAGTCGAAAGGCTGACTCAAGACAAAAGAGCTCATTCCCAACCCTTGTAGGTACTCAAGACAAAAAAGGGGGGGACGACCACCTGAAACTGTAAAAGCAAAGCCCTCATCCCAGAGAGAATGAGAATGAGACTCCCCCTGTCTGAGCCGTTGTCTCTCACCGCATCGCGGAGCTCCGGCCCTAGTTGTTGGATCACGACAGCAAAGCTGCGGCTGACACGGTTCAGCATGTCATAGCAGAAGGCGAGGTCAGGATCCTGCGGCAGCCGCTTCGCCCTCTCCACCAGCTGACGCACCCGCAGCATGCTGCCGATCTCATCGGGGTGCAGCAGCAGGGTCGAAAGGAGGCCCATGCTGACGTCAGAGGGCGCTGAGAGACGTCACTGGAAGTGGGGGAGTCTGACAATGAGGAAGGTTGAAGGACCTGGGCCAAAAGAAGGAGTGAGATGAGTGCGGACTCGTTCGGGTGCAGTAGCAGGGTCGAGAGCAGGCCCATGCTGATGTCAGCGAAGGCGCGTGAGGTCCGTCTCTCAATCAACGGGACGGAGGGGGGTTTCTGAAGGAATCGGTGTTTGACTGCGCTGCGTCAGGAAAGAGTACATAGGTCGGCTTGATTGAGCGAAAGGTATTGGCGTGCAGGATCGAGAGCAGCCCCATGCTGACATCGGTGAGAGGAAAGGCGCATAAGTTTGTACGCTCAATCAACTGCCCGAGGGGGGAGGCGAGGGGGTGCGAGCAATGGGTCTTGAACAGAGACACCAAGTTGCTGCCAAGGAATGAATCTTGTCAGGGTGTGCGGCAAGAGATTAGACAACGGCCCAGGCTCGATTCAGCAAGAGTAAGATGACTTCAGCAAGAGGGTAAGGAGAGCAACGAGTGTCATAGGACCTGGGCCAAAGGGGATGATGTTGCAGACTTTTTGTGGTGCAATTGGCAATTGAGAATTGAGAATTGAGAATTGGGAGCAAGCAAGCCCCCCCTGACATCAGCGAGCAGGGATTCCCCCACGTGGCCCCTTGAATGTATCCAGCGGGCTTATTCAAAGCCTTATACAGCGCCCCTCTCAATTCGTCGCGCAAGACAACTCTGGAGAGCCTTCAACTACAACCAGTGTCATGGCTGGAGTCCATCCCCATACCACTTCAAGTTTGCAGCTCATTCCATGAAGGGCCCATTGCAAACGCCGGTGACCGCCCCATTGGAACTAGCACAAAGTGAATTGAAGAAGCTCAATTCTGCTACCAATTGAAGCAAATGGGGGACTCAACTCATTTATCAGCGCATTTTGTGATGAGAAGGATCAATCATTCTGCAGCCCCAATGCAGATTAGTGGCGAGCTTTGCAAAGTGCTCCGACAGCTGTGCAGATGAATGCAGCGCTCACCTCGCAATCCACTGCTCAATGTCAGAATGCTGGATCCCTACTATGAGCCACTAATTGCAGCTGCTTCACACGACGTCCCTCCTATGGGGATGACAGCAATGCAATCACAGTATGAATGCAAAATGTCTGACCTGCAACTCATTGGGCGAACGCCGCACCTCCCC